GGAGAAAGATGTTGCATGTGCTCCCATAAAGATTGTCACCATGGTTCTGCTCTGTCCTATAGGAATTGCTATGACTCAGAATCAGCTTGTTAGCAGTGGGTTAATGACACCTATATGCTGAATTATTCTTTTTTGAGATTGTATTTCTGTTTGTGTTACTTGCTGCTATAACAGAAATACCAGAAGCAGATGCCCTTAGCAAACAGAAATTTAGTTTCTCACAGTTTATAGTGATAGAAGTCCAAATTCAGAGTGCAAACTGTAGGGAATGCTCCTTGTCTCTTTTAAGCTTCTGTAGGCCCAACATTCCTCTGAGATCTCCATGTGTCTTGGCAACAATTTTCTTCCGGATATAGGAATTTCAAAGTGCAGGGACTGCAAATTCAAAGAATGTACTCCACTTCTGACTCTTCTTTCATGGTGCAGTTCTTCTGGGCTCTGCTTGTTTGTTTAACCTCTTTTATATCTCAAAAGAGATTGCATATACAACCTAATCCTGTAGATTACATTTAGCTTCATTAACATCATAGAAGTGAGGATTTACAACCCATAGGATCATTAGATCAAGGAGCTCTGGTAACGTAGTGGTTACGAATCGGGCTGCGAACCTTAAGGTTAGCGGTTCGAAACTACCAGCTGCTCCGCGGGAGAAAGATGAGGCTTTCTACTCCCGTAAAGATTTACACCCTCGGAAACCCTGTACAGGGTCGCTATGGGTCGGAACCGACTCGACGGCACTTAACAACAACAACACAGGATCATTAGATCAGGGCTGATCACATCATGGGAGTGATTGCATCCCATTAGATCTCTTCAAGGATGTAATGTCTATATCTTAACTGCTAAAGCACTGAGAATCCTAGCCCGGTCAAATTGACGCAAATTTTAACTATCACACTTCTCTTAATTGTTTTTGTCTTATGTCTACCACTGAATTTGGTGTAGTACTGACTTTAATCATCATTTCTATGCCCTTCCAGATTTGCCACATATGAGTAATAAAAAGGCTCTCTGTTAGGAAAGTTCGTGAACATCAGACTTACAACCTATAAGTGTTGTCATATCTATCTCTCTCATTTTTTAGACTAAAGAATTTTGTGTTAGACTTTGATTCCCTGATTATTCTTGTGTTGGAGAGTACGGGTTGGAGAAAAGAGAAAGAAATGCTTGTATGCCTACTTTGTAATAAGCCTTGTTTGGGGCAATTTAAATAATCTCACTAAATACTTCACTAAATCTCTATGAGAATTGAAGACCAATATAGATATGATTTATCTGATTTTAAATCTCACTCAGGTTTTCACTAAGCTAGGTTGCTTGGTTATGATCATTAAATGATAATGTGTTGCCTTTGCACAAGGTTTACTTGAAACCTGGTCCCTCTTTTTTGGTAGCTTCTGAAAGAGTAACCACCCAAACAGGCACCATGAATATTAGCCCTTTTGATATGTTTATCAGGACATTTGATCACCTTGTGATAAGATTGCAGCCCACTGGAATGATGATTTGTTGTTGTTTAGTGCCATCAAGTCCATTCAGATTCATACTGACCTTGCATGTTGTTGTTGTTGTTGTGATGTGCCATGGAGTCAGTTCCACTCATAGTGACCCTACACAGGGTTTCCGAGGCTGTAAATCTTTATCGGAGCAGACCTCCTCATCTTTCTCCCGTGGAACCGCTGGTAGTTTCGAACTGCTGACCTTGCGGCTCGCAGCCCGATTCATAACCACTACGCTACCAGATCCTGCATAGGGTTTCCAAAAGTTTCCAAGGATTGGCTTGTGAGCGTGAACTGCCAACCTGTGATTCAAACCAACGTTTGCAGTCCAGAACATTAACCCACAGAGCCACACCAGGACTCTGCAAGATGACTATTGTTGTTTAAAAAAGGGTATAAATATTGTTGGGTCGAAACTGACTCAATGGCACACAAACCAACAACAGCAACCGACAAGGGCTAGGACTTCCTATAGTATAACACATGTTCTTCTGTTTCTTGACACTGTTGGGTAACTGAGTTCTGAATAAATTATATAGTTATTAACTCTCCATACAAAGGGTAATTTTGAAGTCTGATTAATTTAGAAAGTGGCTCTTTAATTCATTTCATGGCCCTGATGGGAGTGCCAAGCCTTTAAATTTACAAGGAATTTGTGTTTTTGGCTTGTCTGTGATTTTGGTTAAAGTCTGTAATGCATATTGGTTTTCCATTCAAAATTTACATGCATTTTTATTTTCTCACATTGATTGCAATCCCCACAGTGTAACAGCATTCTTCTGTCTTGCTTCCAGTTTCCATTTGTCTTTCTTTACCACCCTTTCCTGCTTTCTTAGTCTTTGGCAAATGCTGCCCTTTTGATCTCAGATGGTTGATTATTTTACAGAGTGCAGCTCTGGTAGTGTAGTGGTTATGAATTGGGCTGCTAACTTCAGGGACAGTAGTTCTGAACTACCAGCTGTTCCGCAGGAGAAAGATGAGGCTTTCTGCTCCATAAAGATTTACAGTCTTGGAAACCCTGTACAGGGTCGCTATGAGTTGGAATCAACTCCACAGCACATAACAACAACAATATATCTCCCTAGTGTTGTTTGCCATACATGCCTCTCTATTGTTTGGCTGAAAATTGAGCCTCAAAATGAGTTTGGTTCTAGGCCTGAAGGTGTTTAACAGCCATAGTCTCAGGAGTTTCCACCAGTTTCTATCAAACCAGTAAACATTGGTGTTCTTTTTTGTTTGTTCAGAGCAGTTAGCAGTGGTAGCTGGCTACCATCCAGTTCTTCTAGTCTCAGGGTCACGGATACTGAAGTTCAAATAGTCCTTTAGCCCCTTGGATGTTTCCTTGTGACTTTGAGAACAATATTTGCACCATAATGGCCATGCACAAGCTTTTAAGACACAGTAGCTGCTCAGCAAAGTAGAATGTAGAACATTGTCTATGTGGACTATGTTGTGGTAGTTGTTATTTTTAAGTACTCTTAATTTGGTTCCAATTCATAGTGACCCAGTATAGGGTTTCCAAGGCTTTAAATCTTTGTGGGAGCAAAAAGCCCACGGAGCAGATGGTGGGCTCAAACTTGGACCTGTGGTTTGCAGTCTAGTGTTTATTATATGGAGCTGCCATGCTTCCGTGTTATTGTTAGTAGTAATAAACCCTCCCACTTGTCTCACCATCCTTCCCGTGTGATGGTTAAAAGTCCGTACTTGTCCCTACCATTAGTAGGAAACCTTCCCACTTACTCCACTACCCCAATAATGAGCAAAGCTACAAAAAGTTCTATAGGTTTGTAAGCTAAATTTATTATTTGAAATTGATAAAGTATACTAAACACAGTAAATAAATGGATGCCTATAAAATTTTTTAAAGTAACTTTTGTTAATGCGTTTATGAATATATGCGGAGTAGTTAATATTATTCTCATAGGTCTTTTAAGTGACAAATCTCCAGAGTCAATACCTAATAGACGTTTAATCAGAAAAAGTCAAATTAACTCTTTAATAAGGAAATTTTCCAAATTTGAGTTTAGATTATTATCAGTCAGGTCATTATTGGTATAATAGTGAGAGTTTTTAAATATTTCATTCTGAAATGGATGCTTTTTATATTAAAATTGTTACTGTTAGATACTCTCTTTGCTGTCTGTTTTTTAAATTGATTTTAGAAAGTTTCTTTTTCTTAGAAATCAATGTCTTGTATACCCTACTCCACACATTTGACTAGAAGGATTTTGCAGCTTCAGAGGAAAACATTGTATGATTGTTTCAGATTCAGAGTACTGCTAAGAAACCAATTACCACAACTGATGAGTCCTATCAAGATTTAATACTTGAAAAGATTTTCAAAAGACTGAATACTTCACTTAATGAGAAAATAATGCAAAGCAACTTAGCCTCCCTTTATTGCCGCTTCTTCCTAAAAATTTCTTATGCAAATGATTTTTATACCAACCTATCTAATAATAACCCAATGCTTTTTTAGGGAAATATATATCTCTTGAACTTGCTATTCATCATCTTGGTGGTTCTTTTGTTTTCTGAACAACAAAGCAGTTTTAAAATTTTTGTATTTGTGCTATCTGAAAACACATACTTAACACTTTCTAATAGTTCATTTTCATGTAGATACCTTTAGATATTTATAAGCTTATTTATTTTCATACCTCTATGTAAGTTTTTGTCTCAGCTGCAGATTAATGGTGTTCTAGAGTTGCATGCTTCTTTTGCCATATACTTATTGTTGTGATATTTATAAATTCAGCTTTCTTCTAAGAATTTTTGATGTTCTATGGACATTCTTCTGTATAAGAAAAAAATGTAAACTAATTTTCTTCATGAATTTGACTGGCAATTTGTATTTTCTGTTTTTTCGTTATTCCTTTCACACTGCTGCTTGGATTACAACGCTGCAGACAGACCACATATTTTATCTTTTAACTATTCTTTTATTCTTTTAAAATGTACCCATCTTTTTGAAAAGATCATACATAAGGATTAGTACTTCATGCCATTCTAAATATTATGTTTCTGAATGTGATGGTAAAGGTGAAATCATTACTTTTCGAACATCCCTTATATACTTGATGTTTGCATCCTCATTTAAGTACTGGCTCTTTGGACCTCTGCTTTTACTCATAGGTATTTCATATATGTTATATGATGAGTTGATAAGGATATTCATGCTTTTTCTATCATTCTAACATATATAATGAGCCTGGTTCTTTACCTGCATTTGATTTCAGTTCTTTTGTATTTTCATTTCTAGATACAAGTTGGAAAAGATATGAGTCTAGCTATTCAAGCTTTTAACTATTAATCTTTTAACTGCTTTACTATCCTTTTGCCATTGCTACTGCATAACTTGCATATGCTGCTGGTTGTTGAACCCTACAGAGGTTTAAACTGATTCACATTAAGCATACTGTTTATGATCAATATCCTTCACTATGACATTTATTCTCTGATGTAAATGCCATTGTTTTTCATCCAGACTGATCTGTCTTCTGTTTCTCATGGAGTAATAATATAAATGACCTTTACTGGATTCCCTCAAGTGCTAGAAATTTCCAAATATTTTGAATTTTCTCTTATTTTTTTCATTAGGATGCAGCATAGATTCCAAGCAAGTTGAGGAACAATCTGCAGCTGCAAATGAAGAAGTACTTTTTCCTTTTTGTAGGGAACCAAGTTATTTTGAAATCCCTACAAAAGAATTCCAGCAATCATCACAAATAACAGAGAGCACTATTCATGAAATCCCAACAAAAGACACACCGAGTCCCCATACATCAGGTGCAGGGCATGCTTCATTTACCATTGAATTTGATGACAGTACCCCAGGAAAGGTAACTATTAGAGACCATGTGACAAAATTTACTTCTGATCAACGCCACAAGTCAAAGAAATCCTCTCCTGGAACTCAAGACCTGCTGGGGATTCAAACAGGGATGATGGCACCAGAAAACAAAGTAGCTGACTGGTTAGCACAGAACAATCCTCCTCAAATGATATGGGAGAGAACAGAAGTGGATTCCAAAAGTATTAAAAGCGATGTTCCAGTTTACTTGAAAAGGTTGAAAGGTAAAGTGAATTGATCATTTGAGAACTTCATATTTTTTTGATAAAGAAAATTCATTCTTCACAAATCCCAAACTATCTGTTTGGTAGAAAACTCCTGCTTTTTCAAAGGTTAATATTTAATTTTAAAGCTTAAAAACCAGTCACGCTATTCATATCCAACTTATTCAAAACATAGTCTTTCTTCATTTTCTTGCCAAAACCAGAGTGGTTTTGTGAATTTGTATTTACATCATTAAATATCTTTCTTTTTTTCTGTACAAGATTCATTTAGTTCATCAGTGGAATTCCCTGAAAAATAATTCTTATCCTTTTCTTCTTTAAAGGAAAAGATATATTCTATTCTTCTCTAACTTGATGCTTTGAGTAAAATGTCAATAGGGTTTGAAAGAAATTTTAAGCCATTTGATATCAGCTCTCAGTTCTATTTTGGTATAATACTGCTCATAGAGTGTTTCAAAGTGTTCTCATAGAACAAGGCTTTTTTTGTTGTTGTTTAGAGGTACTTATGTGGAATCTTACGGAGTCCTGGTGTGGTGCTGTGGGTTAAACCAGACTGCAAAGCCGTTTGAACTGTAAGATTGGCTGTTCAGGCTCACCAGCTGCTCCTCGAAAACCCTATACAGGGTCACTATGGGTCGGAACTGACACGCCGGCACTTAACAACAACAACAATGAGGAATCTATTAATCTAATTTAAAATTGTTTTGTAAAATAATTCTTGTGAAAGTCACAATGGAATGTTCATTTGTAAAATACTTTATATGCTTTGTTCAACACTTGGCCAAAATAAGTAAAATCTTTATACCAGTACATTAATGTATCAACCAATCATTTTTCTACCATTGATTTTGCCAACAAAATTTGAGAATTAGTTGACTACAGTTTACATTACTATCTTTTAACAAAGTATAAAGAAAATGTTTTTGAGCAAACTTGGTTGCATGTTAGACCATTTTATTATTATACAATGAAATGATGGGCTTTAAAAGGTCAGACTTACCTGATAGCTCTAACAACTTAATTGGGACTTGTGTATGTGCTACATATTCAGTAATTTGAAAAACAGTGAGTAAATTTACAATCAATGACAAGGTGAATCCTGCTTAACCTGTATTTTATCCCCTTGGATTTTGATCAAGTAGGGAAGAAGTAGTATTCTTTTGCTTATTTTGGACTTCCTTTTAAGACATTACAGGTTAGTGTGATAATGCAATTACCTAGTTCTTTGATGTGACCTATTTCTATATTTAAACTACAGCTAGCAGCAATTAACTGACACATATATTAGGAAGACCAGGTGATCTGCTTCCATAAAGATTATAGCCAAGAGAACTTGAAGATACTCAAAACCAACAAAGGATCTTTACTTCTGTTAGACAATATTAGGAGGCTTGATCATGTGCTGTAGGATAAGCACTGAACTAATTGCAAGATCAGTGGTTCAAACCCACCAGTCAGAAACCCTGTACAGGATTGCTATGAGTAGGAACCAGCTGGACATCACTTAACAACAAAAACAGGCAATATTAAATGTATAATTAAGAACTGTATATGTTTATATAGGCTAAAGCAGGAAGCACAGTAACTCCATAAGATAAGCACTGGACTGTGAGCCAGAAGGTCCGCGATTTGAGCCTGCAAGCGACTCCACTTGAAAAAGATGAGGCTTGTCGTTTTCTCGAAGACTTGTTCCAGTTCTCAGAGACCCTGTATAGGATTTCTCAGGAGCAGCTGTTGAGTTTGAACCCCCAATCTTGCAGTTCAAACCATCCTTGAGGGTCCAGAGCATTATCCTGCAGCACCACACCAAAACTCAAAGATTTAGAGCCTCAGATGTCCTATACAGGGTTGCTGTGAGTTGGAACCAGAGCCACAGCACTTAACAGTAATAACAGGTTGAAGCACACCATCAAAGCAAATGACCCATTTGTAAACTAACCATTTTTATGAATTTAATACATAATGCTGGTATGAGGCTGTATGAATCTTCAAAATTTGGAAATAATTTAGTGTTTTTTAAAAAGCACTCAAATATTACCACTCCCACACCCCACACCCACCCCTAATAAAAGAGCTCTAAAAGAACCTTTTAAAAGATGCCCTATTTAAAATACCCTTCTATGTTAATGGTACAGACTCCTGATGTGGTGCTGTGGAATAAAGTACTGGACTGCGAGGTCGGTTTAAACTGTAAGATCAGTGGTTCAAACTTACCAGCTGCTCCTTGGAAACCCTATACAGGGTCTCTATGAGTCGGAATTGACTCGATGGCACTAAACAATAACAACAATATTACAGAATAGACTCCTGGTTGTGGCACTGTACTGCAAAGCACAAGGTCGGCAGTTCAAACCCACCAACTGCTCCTCAGAAACCCTACACACACACATACACACACACGGTCTCTGTGAGTTGGAATTGACATTATGGCATTTAACAACAATATCACAGTAGAAGTCCTGGTGAGACACTGTAAGATAAACATATAACTGCTAACTGCAAGATCAGCGGTTCAAATCCACCAGCAGCTCTTCAGAAACCCTATATAGGGTCACTGTTAGTTAGAACTGACTTGATGGCACTTAACAACAATAGCAACATATTATAGTAAGTTCCCTGGTTATCAACATCTGACTTACAGGTAATTTATACTGTACTTCCCCTTTTGGTTATATAAATTTACCTTTACTGCTTTCAACAAATTTTTAGCAATCACCTTAACTTGTTGCATGTGCAGCTTTGAAATCACTTTAAATCAAAGCCTTTCTTACACTAAAGGAAAGCTAAATAGCAACTGTATTCTCCTGATACAAGCTAGCTAAAAATTCGACTTAAAAAGCATACGAGCAAATGGATCTCATTCCTAACCTAGACTTCCTGTATGGTGTTGTTGTTGTTAAGTACCGTGGAGTCGGTTCCAACTCATAGTGACCCTATACAGGGTTTCCAAGGCTGTAAATCTTTACGGGAGCAGAAAGCCTCATCTTTCTCCCACGGAACTGCTGATAGTTTCGAACTGCCGACCTTGAGGTTAGCAGCCCGATTCGTAACCACTACACTACCAGAGCTCCTTCCTGTATAGTAGTTTTTTATTCTGCATTATAACTACAGTGAAACCTGTGAGAACCATAAGTTTTTAACCTTGGACAGGATGTAGCTTACCAGTTTTCTCTTGCTCTCTCTATTAGTGGAAAATACAGTGAGAGCTGGGACTCGATGGGACTGCTGTGTTTGTCAGGGTCTTGCAAGTTTTCCACCTTTGACAGGATGAAAAATTACCGCTTTTCTATCATCCTTTTACTGGGAAATACTTGAGTTTTCCCTCTCTAAAAGATTTCCTTCTTACACAGATTCTGGCTGTTGAAAATTCTGTTGTATTTTCTATATTAGCCATTATTTTAAAGTAATGATTTTTAAGATGTTCTCTGCTCGTCAGTCCCATTTGTGAGTCAGCCCGCGTCCAAATGAAGGCATTAGTGCCCATATGTACACTGTAGGCCCATATACATTAATGATTTGATATTTTTAAAGAACTTACCAGATATAAACAAGCAAATCACTATTTTTCTTCTTAGGTGATTTATAGGTAGAATATATATTCCAGTATATTGCCATTGTTTAAAATTTTAGTCGCCTTCATTTTAGTCTCTGGTGTATTACTTTTCCAAGTGCCGTTCTCTCTTCTGAGTCTTTTCACTTCTTTTATATACATTTTCCAATCAGTTCATTTTGTGTTAAATCATTTAGTATCAGTTGGTAAGCTCTAAATCCATTTGAAACAAACACATAAACACATAAGCATTTAAGTTAAAACTCAATTATTTTTATCCCCCAGTCTCTTGTACTTTGAATCTTTTCATCTCAAATCATCATTTTGTTCCGTGCTGAATTATTCAGTAGGTTGCTATTGTTGTTCTTAAGTGCCTTTGAGTTGGTTCTGACTCATAGCACTCTGTATAGGGTTTACCGAGGAGTAGCTGGTGGGTTTGAGCTGCTGACCTTGTGGTTCACAGTCCAGTGCTGATCCTGTAGTGCAACACCAGAAGTCATAGCTTAGGTAAATCTGAAAATCAGAAGTGTTAAAACGTACCTGGTTGGCTAGATTCATTTACAGTTTATAAAGAAGCCATAATTAATTTAAGCCAAGATTTGTAATACAGTCTAAAGCATGAAGAATGACTCTTGACTTGCTCCTAATTTTATGCTATAATAATATAATAATTATGATTTGATTATTTCTCTTACTGTACTTGGTTAATGAGAATTTCTAAAGTAGTAAAACATTAAGTAATTTTCATAAAGTTTCACATCTGATCACTAACTAAACTATAATAGGTTAACTACTTAATGATTTTTTCTGATTGTGATACAGGAAAAAAAATCTGTTAGGAAGCTAATGTTTCAAAAACCAAATATATTCTAACTTGACTGTGTGCTTTATGTAGAAGACAGATTTTTTATTTCATTTTATTTAGTAGTATGCCATTTACTCAATAGGTATTTAAGTTTACAGCTATTTCATAGATTACTCTTTTCTTTGATAGGCCTTTGATAGCATACTTTATCTTACTCTGAAATTACCAGAGTTTAGCACACAAAAATGCAAATTTTCAAAAGTTCTTAGCTATAAAAAAAATATGCAGTAATTGATGGGGTTAAAATTTGAATCCTTTTACTAGAAAGGAAAGGCATGATATACTTTTGAAAGTATGGAATATTATTGAAAGTTGGTACCACCACATTTTTATTGCATTTAAACATTCTTTTCCTTCTAACAATTGAAGTTTAGTGGGATCAGTCTTCCAGTCTGTCTCTCTAATGGTAGAGTTTTCATTGCTTAAATCAAGCACAGTTTGTATTCAGGGTAAATGTTTATTGATAGTATGAATGCAAGTTATCACAGATGCTGTCACATGGCTTATCTTTTGCAGCATTAATGGGTTATTACCAAGTTAAAATTTGTCCATTGCCACCAAGTCAGTGCCAGCTCTTAGCAACTGTAAAAAGGACTAGAACTAGCTCCTTGGGGCTTTAGGGGCTGTAAATCTTTAAGGAAGCAGACTGCCTTATCTTTCTCCTAAAGAGCAGCTGGTGTGTTCGAACCACTAGCCTTCAGTTAGCAGCCCAACACTTAACTCATGGTGCCAAGAGGGCTCCTTGAAAGAAAGGCAGCCTTTTCAGTTGTTAATAAAGGATAAGGACTTTGGTTGATAAAAGTTACTGAAAAGAATGTATGACTCTGGATGGAAAAGGGAGATAAGGGCAAAACAAATAGCACTTTTGTTTATGCTTCCAATGTACTCCAGGGGATTTTTTTTCCCTTTTCTATTATATGCTTTCTTTTTGTGTCCAGGAAACAAACATGATGATGGCACACAAAGTGATTCAGAGAATGCTGGGGCCCACAGGCGCTGTAGCAAACGAACAACTCTTGAGGAACACATAAGGCGCCACCATTCAGAACAGAAAAAAATTCAGAAGGCCCAGGCCGCTGAAAAGCATCAAGACCAAACTGTTGTAAGTCAAAATGCTTTTATGGTTGCATTCTTTGATGAAGACAATCCCAGAAAAAGACAGTCATATTCTTTTACTCAAAGTGTGGGAATCTTATGTCAGGAAACTACTTATTCAGCACCACATACAAACCTTGAAAAAGCAAACTCTCCAACAGCAGATGCCAAAGTGGTTTCTTTGTCTTTACAGACTAGCTCTGCGCATCACAGAGGGGGGCATGGTGTTCCACATGGGAAATTGTTAAAACAGAAATCAGAGGAGCCATCGGTGTCAATACCCTTCCTACAAACTGCATTATTAAGAAGTTCAGGGAGTCTTGGGCACAGACCAAGCCAGGAGATGGATAAAATGTTAAAAAATCAAGCTACTTCTGCTGCTTCTGAAAAGGAAAATGATGATGACCAAAGTGACAAGGGTACTTATACCATTGAGTTAGAGAATCCCAACAGTGAGGAAGTGGAAGCAAGAAAAATGATTGACAAGGTAAATAACTGAAATTTGGACATGTTGTTAGTTTTCTCATGACTTACTTGGCTGTTGGAAATTATTGGAGAGTCAACACGAAGTACCTTCATTCAGTCTGTAGTATTGGAGCTTAAGGATTTGGGCAGGCATTGGCAAGACTAAAAATAAAACCAAACTGCCTTCTGATTTCATTTTGCTTATATTCAGAATTTTCATGAGTTTCACATGTACATACTGTACATTGAAACTGTCTGGGTCATTCAAGGTTGCAAACATTTAAGATAGGAGTTAGAAATAGTATGGTTTATTTGAAAAAGCTTGCTTTTCACTTATTTAAACACACAGACACTTTAAAAAAAAAAAAAAAAAAAAAAACCTGACCAAAAAAATCAGATGGCTATGACTTGTTATCATAAACATAATATTAGCTTATGATAGCTAACCACAGGTTTCCTACTTTCTACTTTCATGTTGGAAACAGATACCAATACTAATGCTAAAATTAATTTTGTTTGTTCTTTTTTTCTTAAGTTCCATTCATTGTTCTCTTTTGTAGAAAGAGATATGAAAGCCAGCTTGTTTATAATACTTTTAAAGTCAGGTATATACCTAGTAATAATGATTATTTACATTTTAGATTTGTTCATTGGTGTGTATAATAGTTGTTGTTTGATTTAGAAAGTTGTTTTCCCCAATTTTGCCCATGGTAATAGAAAGTTGACTTCAGAATCAGCTCCTTAGCTTAGCTCCCTTGGAAATACATAAAAGTTCAGCCAAACTTATATTTCTGTGTTCTTGTTATTCAAACACACTGGATTATAATCTGCATTGAAAATTAAATGGCTAGTGATTTGTATACATAAAAACATTTAAGATGTACTGGTATAGATCATGCATTTCCAGAGTGGTTTCTCAGGAAATGGGCAACATAAGTCTTTGAACTTATGTGCATTATTATCTTTTTTATTTATATTTAGAGTGTGTTTTATTAATATGGGTGCTGTGGGTTAATGTGCTAGACTGTAAAACCATTTAAACTGCAAAGTCAGCGGTTAAAGTTCATTAGCTTCTTTTTGGAAACCCTAATACAGGGTCGCTCTGGGTCAGAACCAACTTGAAGGCACTTCACAACAGCAACATACACAAATACTTTATAGTCATAATTTATTAAGCAGTTCATGTTCAGATATTTTACTGCTGAAGTGTATGACTCCAAACTTTGGAGTCCCATTAGTTTAAAAATAGATGTAATATAATAGATACTATGCTCTGGTAGCGTAGTGGTTACGAATCGGGCTGCGAACCTTAAGGTCAGCGGTTCGAAACTACCAGGTGCTCCGCGGGAGAAAGATGAGGCTTTCTACTCCCGTAAAGATTTACACCCTCGGAAACCCTATACAGGGTCGCTATGGGTCGGAAACGACTCGATGGCACATAACAACAACAACAACAATGTTGTTGTTGGAGTCCTGGTGTGGCGCTATGGGCTAATGTGTCAGACTGCAAAGTCGTTTGAACTGCAAGATCGGGGTTTCAAGCTCACCAGCTGCTCCTCAGAAACCCTATACAGGGTTGCTGTGGGTCGGAAATTGACTCGACAAATTGACTTAACAACAATGTTGTTGTTAAGTGTCATCAAGTCAGTTCTGACTCATAGCAACCCTTGTTTCCAAGGAGCAGTTGGTGGGTTTAAACTGCCGACCTTGTGGTTCATAGTCAAGTACTGATCCTGGGTTAGTAAAAGGAAATACAGAATTTGAGAAACATTAGATGATAAAGCCAATTTTCTGTTTAAAGAATGCCTTACAAGGCCACACTATTAGCGTAGAAAATGGCCCTTGGTGATTTTTTTTATCGTTTTAAGTTGGTATATATTTCTTTTTTTGTAATGCTGCCGAGTCATTTCCGACTCATAGCAACCCTATAGATGGTTTCCAAGGGGAAGCTGGTGTGTTTAAACTGCAGACCATGCTTATCCAATGCTTATCTTACAGCGCCACACCAGGATTTTGCTTTAGATTATCTTAAAATCTATAACTTTCACTAATTGGTTATCGAGAACAATTTTTGCTATTTTAAATACTGTCAAGTGGAAACTGAAAGTTTTTTTAAAAAGGGAATGAATGTTGAGAAGTTTTAAAATTCACATTAATAGTGTTATTATCCTATTATGCCCTTATTTGGTTTATGGGTATTTTATTTATAGTGACTGATGTATTCTCTAATGAAAGATTATGTTCCAGTGAAGGATTATATTATAGTATTGAGAACATGGATTTTTGCAAGCTAACAAATCTGAAGTGAAATACAAACTGCATATATTAGGTGTGTGCCTGTGAGTAAATTAATCTGTTTAAGCCTTGGGGTTTTTTTAACATGTAAAATGGAACAAATGTCACTTCATTAAAAAAATTCAGTAAGATATATAAGAAGATTTATCATAATAACTAGCTTTAAGAGATTGTATAAAGGATACATTTGCCCTCCTGACTTCATGAGGGAGAATGAGAATCAAACTTATTAACGGCCTTAGGCAGGGGCAGACATCCTTCAACCTCTAACCTTCTCATTAGTTCTTATTTCCATCTGTCCCTTATCACTCTGTACTTCTCATCTAGATTCAGTAATTAATTGCAATGTTGTTGTTGTTACGTGCCGTGGAGTCGGTTCCAACTCATAGGGACGCAGTACAGGGTTCCAAGGCTGTAAATCTTTACGGGAGCAGAAAGCCTCATCTTTCTCCCGAGGAACAGCTGGTAGTTTTGAACTGCTGACCTTGCGGTTCGCGGCCCAATTCGTAACCACTACACTACCAGAGCTCCTTAATTAATTGCAATAGCCACATATAACTCAGAATGCTCACGATTATGGGGTTTATTAGTACATTGTTGTTGTTTAGTGCTGTTGAGTCAGTTCTGACTCATAGTGACCCTGATTAGGGTTTCTGAGGAATGACTGGTAGATTTGAAATGCCAATCTTGAAGTTCATTAGGGAAGTCGTTGTTGCCGACTCATAGCGACCCCGTGCACAGTAGAACGACACAATGTCCGATCCTGGGCCAACCTCACTACCGCTGCCACACTTGACACCATCAGTGATGCCACCTCACCAATCCATCTTGTTGGGGGGTCTTCCTCTCTTTCTCTGACCCTCCATCTTACCCAGCATAACATCCTTCTCAAGCGACTGTTCCCTCCTGACAATATGTCCAAAGTATGAGAGACGAAGTGTAGCCATCTTGGCCTCCAAGGAGCACTCTGGCTGCACTTCTTCCAAAACAGATCTATTGGTTCTTTTGGCAGTCCATGGCACTTT